TGATCCTCAAGATGCATGGCTATTTGATGGTATTCTCTGTATGTGTCCAAGAAGCTCATACGCTGATGATGCACAGTTGCGTCCACCAGTTGGTCGATTCTGGGGAGAGGGAAGTAATCCGTGGAATAGGCCTTATTCAGGTCCGTGAAGTCCACGCAAACATGCCAAGACCCATTTTTCTTCTTTACGACAACAGTGTTGGACAACCAGGTGGGGTAATTCACTTCGCAAATTGCGCTGACCTCCAGGAGTTTGTCAACTTCTTCGATAACGGCCGAAGTATGCTCGGCTGCCGATCCGCGACTCTTCTAGATGATGGGCTTAACCTTTGGGTCCACATTCAAATAGTGTTGTGCTATGCTGGGGTCCACTCCTAGCATTTCATAAGGCGTCTAGGCGAATACATCACTATTACCGATTAGGAACGAAATCAACTCCTGGCATTCGTCAACATTCAGACATACGTCGATCAGGAAAAATTTATTTGGTTCATGCGTGAGTTCAATCCGCACGAGATCCTCAGTTCCTTATCCTCGAGGGTCTCCCAGTTCAGAATTTCAATTGAATTGATCTCCAGCTCTCTTGGATTTTTGTCAAAATGAGTAAGGTAGCAATCATTTGCCGACTTTTGAGAGCCTCAAATCTGCTCAATGGCGTGTTGTGTTGGGAAGCGGAGTAGCTGGTGATAGGTGCTTGGTACGGCCTGCATTGCATACAGCCAAGTTCTTCCCATAATGATGTTGTATTGCGATGGCAATTTAATGACCAGAAACTCCACACCGAGCATCCTAGTGCCTGCACGTACCGTAACCATGACCTTGCCCAGAGGGTATTCTGGATACGCGTTGAAGCCAAACAAGGGGTACGTTGTCGACAATAGATCTAAATCCGTGAAGTAGAGTTTCAGAAATGTCTTGTAGTACATTATCTCTGATGTGCTCCCCTAGTCAACCAGAATACGTTCGACAGCAAATTTGTTTACTCACAACTCAATAACAAAAGCATCGTCGTGGGGGAGGATCAGTCCCTCCATATTTGCGTTGTCGAAGCTAATCTTATTGATCTGATGAGGCCGTTTGGCTGATGTGAACGACTTGGATGGGCATAGTTGAGGTGCTTGTGACTGGATCGTATGGATGTCGTTCGGCGTCGGAAGACAGTATATCATATGAATGGTGCCCAACGGAGGTGAGTCTGGGCATAGAGCCACCACATTAGGTTGGGTGATCTTGTGAGGGAGGTATTGGAGGAGTCGAGCATCCTATACGAACTCCTCAAGATGGTCCTTCAAGAAGTGGCTAGCTCGGTCGGCAGGAGTGCTGATCTCGTGATCGGCGTGGCTCACAACGACTTTCTCGCTTTGGCCTGCCTTGCTGCTCATGGCTTCTTTCTGGTGGGGCTACACTTATCGGCTGTACCAAGACAAGCGCATCTATCTCCACAACCTTTTTGTCCAGCCTTGATGCGGAGGGCATCATCCTCCACTTTGCAATATTCCTTATCTTTCTTCATTAAAGCCCATACTATTTTAGGAGGTCGTCTAGTTAACGACCTCCGGAGCTGACTATCAGGGTGCAAGCCCATCTTGAAGATAGTAATGGCCATGGAGTCATTATAGGCATCGTCAACCAGATTGAAACATTCCCAGTAGCGCGCTGAATATTCACAGAGAGTTTTTTCTAGCTTAATTTGCATTGCCCAAAGCGAGTCGGCTTGCTTAGGCTGGACCTCGTTGATGATAAATCTTGCCCGTAAAGATTTTTGGAGCTGATGAAAACTCTTGACCAAGGATGGTTCAAGTTTGTAATACCACCGAACTGCTAGTGGACCTAAGCTGCTTGGAAACATGCGACACATAAGCGCTTCATCATCAGCGTGTAACGTCATTGCCTGTTTATAATGGCGAATGTGGTCCGTCAGATCATAATTATCATCATACAATGTAAATGTCGGGGCTTTAAATTTTTTTGGCAGGATAGCCTTGGCAATTCATCATACGAAAGTATCATGCCTATCTTCCCCGTTTGAACCATTTTCCTTTTCTTGTCCATGTCGCACTTATGGACTTCCCTCAGATGAGCTAGACACACCAACATGTCCCTTTTTCATAGGTTCCTGAGCTAATGAGTCGAAGGTGCTACTGCCACCGTGTTTCTGATGCCAACGTCGTTGAGTTCCCTTCTATTGTTCGGGCGACCGGCTCCGCTCGTGATATGGTGCAGTCTGTTAAGATTTGGCTAACTCCAAAGTCAGCTCTTTGCGTAAGTGCCCATTGTCAGCCACTATCTCTTCCAAACACTGTTCGTTTCGTTTTGCTTGATTCATGATTGTCTGCATGGCTTCCTATATGGAGGTTGAGGGTGAAGATTGAACCACTAGATTGAAATTCAAGGTACTTCGAGCGGTGATATTCTCCGGACCAAGCATAGTTCTTAGTGTAACACTTGGTGTAACATCGTCTGCTACGGACAGAGGATCGCTGGTGACGTCTGTCATGAACGTGCTTGAGTATTCCCATAGACGACGCCAATTGTGGTGAAATGGATTTTGAAATACTCTTTCGTCCAAACAGAGCCTCTTAATCATCTCTCTATTACTTTTTTCTCGACCCCTTTTCCTTGAGCATGGCTCTTCCTTTTATAATGATCCCTCTAGGGGCCATCCATGGGCCCACTGCTTCCTGGGCTTTGATTCTATCCCTGGGCCTTCCATATATGAAAGAGTATAGTCGGCTCCTACGGCCACCATAACTTGTTCGCACTCGACTTCTCCACTTGTCTAACCCGGCATGGCCGACTTGTATTCGGCCATTTGACAAGCACTTAATCAAAAATAATAAAAAATAATAATCCATTTACTCGGCCACCACAAAAGCCAAAAGCCAACTTTTAACTCATTTTGGGTCACGTCACCCTTCACATAAAGACAAGTCAGTGAAATTTCAATTATTTAGTGAAATTTCGATGACCAAGTTTGATTTAGTGAAATATACAATGATGTGGTAAGAGGGAGGGGCCCTATCAATTTAAATATAGGGTTTAAATTCTAGAGAAATGTTACATACCTACACTTTTAATCTATAAATCTATTTACAATGATGTGGTAAGAGGGAGGGGCCCTATATTATTAGATGTATAACAAATTAAAAATTGGCACATATAATATCACAATATTATAGATACACATGTGAGACTTGTTTGTGGATCTTAAATATTTTCTTAAATTCTAAGTTATTTTCTAGGTTAATACACTTTTAGTGCAGTTAATGGCTATTGAGCAATGGAAAAGTTTGGGATCCTAGAATTAAGGGTCCAGATTTTACTCAAAATGAGTATGTGTGGTGGAAATTAAATTGATGAAGTGTGGTGTTTACTAGTGAAATGAATTTGAACCACTGATTATTATTTCTGGGCAAATTCTGGGTAGATAATTATGGATTTGTAGTATTGTAGCCAAGCAATTGTCGAGTTGAACCCAAAAAAAACAAAAAAAAGGCTAGAAAATACATTGAATGATTAAAATTAATTTTATATGTTAGTCGGTGTTTCAGTACTCGCTAATGTTTTAAAAATCAGGTTGGTAAGAGAACCGGAAAAAGGATCACGTGGGGAGATCACTGGTTCAACTGTTGAGCCAAACTAGAATCAAACCATAACGTCCTAATTATTTTATAAATATATTAAAATTTATTTAACAATAACATAAGAATTAGGATACATTGATTTAATTTTTTAAAAAAAAAAATTTAAGATAATTTACAATTACATAAATATATTTATTATATATAAAATACATCAATTATATTAATGATTGAAAGAAAATGTAATACAGACATATATTTATCAAATATAAATAAAAGTTGAATATGGTATGGTAGTTATTTGTCAAGCTACTTCAATCTGGTTCTATGCTCAATTCTCCCAAACAACATAATTTCGCATATTTGCTTGCCATTTGACAAAATGGGAGCCCAACCAATTTAGTTGAACCATACCCAGACTGAACTTTTAGATTGGTTGACGGCTCAACTAGCTTGTCTAGTTCGATTTCAAAATATTGTTACTCACACTAACGTTTTTTATTGAAGAAACAATACTTTTGGCTACTAACTTTTTAGCTACCAAATGATTTAGTATGGTAGTTATATGTTCAACAATCAAAAGTTTAGTCACCAAATATTTGTTTTTAATCATTCAGTCACAGTAGTTATATGTTCAAACGGCCAAAAGTTTAGTCGTCAAATACTTGTTTTTGTCAATTAATTCGATTAATGATTTTTTTTAGTCATGAATTACTTTCCACAACCACATGTATTAGTGAACAAAATTTTTTGTCACAAAAGTACTTACGCTGATTAAAAAAAACTTTTTTGCAACCAAAATTTTAGTTGGCAAAAAGTGTAATTTCTTGTAGTATTCTAAAATTCAATTTCTCATATCTGTTTTTGGGTTTATAGACTACCTGGTAGTCTATAAATACGAGACCCATCTAGTTCCATTTTCTTCACATTCTCTTCTATTTTTCCCTACCATAGATTGGCATGGGTGCACTTACCCCTGTGTTTCTCTTTTTTCTCTTTCTCTCTGCCAATTCCGATGAAAGTTCTAAGTTTGATTCATCATGCTTTTCAGCCATTCCGATTTCCAACTCGGTTGTTGCTCTCTACGTGTTTAGGGACTCGACGGTTGATGCTGGCAACAACAATTACATCCACAAGGCCATGAGGGCTAATTATTTTGCCTTATGGCATTGATTTTAGCAACACCCCCACTGGCCGTTTTACCAACGGAAAAACTATTGCTGATTTCATTGGTATTACATTACTTACTACTGTAAACTATACTCTCCCTTTGGTTTGGTTTGGTTTTATTCTCATTATAAGTAGTAAATGTTTTAAATTCAATTTTCTATGTTGTGATGTGATTCGTGAAGCGATATTATATAATCTTTCACTACCCCCTCCGTATTTGAATTTGACGGAAGCACAAAGGAAGACTACCATGGACGGCATCAATTATGCTCTGCTGGATGTGGTATCTTCCCCAACACCAAACCAACCGGGGTGAAATATTTGCAACTTTTCTTACTTCTTGTGAATCCTCTAAATCTGTATTTTTTTCAAACTTTTTGTTTTTAATATATGTATATATTTACAATTTACCCAACCATTGTTAACGTTACTTTATGGGAGAGGTTTTTCTATAATCCACATAGTGGATTGGAGTGTGTTGTAGGATTCGTGAGGTTCACCACGGGTTTCGTTAAAATAATCTGAATTGTTCATTATGTAGAGTTTTTCGAGTACTTCATACCTACAAAAAATACATTAATCAGATATAGGTAGCCTCTTGATCGGAATACATTTTTGTTAATAATTTTATTTTTAAAATCATATTACCATTGACAAAAATATATTCCGATCAAAGGACTACCGATATCCGATCGATGTGATATTTGGTACACATGAGGTACTCGACGAGTTCTACATATTGAACGGTTTGAATAATCAAAACGGGATCCATAGTGAGTCCCATGGGTCCAACAGCATGCTCCAGTCCACTGTGGACTGGAGAGAAGCCTCTCCCTAGTTTAATTCCTCTTTGTTTCTCAACGTGATTGCTGGAGTTTGCAAACACAGATTGAGGCATTCAACAGGACTGTCTAGGAAGATCTGCCATGTATGATTGAAGATCCACAAGAGCTCGCTGAGTTTCTTGCAAATTCCATATTTTTCATCTCCATGGGGGCCAATGACTACATCTTAAACTTTAACAACCACCACGACCCTGAATATTTTGCAAATTCTCTCTTAATCTAGTTTCAATGGTATTTGCAGGTAAACTTTTAACTAATTGCATTCAAATCAGATTGTTGATTTTTAACACTATATTATTGCTATTAATTGATGATCAACTATAATTTAAGTATGAAAGATGATAGCTTCCATGGCTATGGATTGGGTTAGAGTCTAACCTAACCATCCTTTAATGTTTTCATTATTGCAAGACACTATATAGCATTGGAGCCAGAAATCTAGTGGTGAACAACATAGGTCCTCTGGGATGCTTGCCGTCGGTGATAAACAAGACAGGAAATGGGCAGTGCGATGAACAGATGAATCAAAATATCATGCCATACAACTCGAAACTTCCTCAGACACTAAAAAATATCCAGGATGAATATCCTGATGCTACCCTCACTCTGGCCAACAGCCATGATCTTCTTCAAGATATATTGGCAGACACTGAAAAATATGGTAACTGTTTTTCTTTTCATTATTTTTTCAATTGACAAATAATTGATTTCTGGTCATTATTATTTTTTCTTTTTCTTTTTCTTTTTTTTAACATCATTTCGCCATAAAGTAGCTATTTTCGTCTCCTGCATGTGTGTTGTGTTGTGTAGGGTTTACAGATGTAAAAGATCCGTGTTGCGGAGCCTATGTTAATGGGAAACTAGCTTGCATCCCAAACTCTACACCATGTGACAATAGATGTCAAATCTCTTCTTTGATGAGAACCACACTAGTGAATTTGCAAATTGTATCTTTGTTCGAGACATGCTTATTAAGGATTGAGGGATCAACAAGTTTGCTAGTTTGATTTTAATTATGAGTGGTATGGTAGTAAGAGTATGGCATGAAAACAAGCTCGTCTCTGCTGAAGTTATTATGGACACTTAAATGATACGATTAAATAATCTACCCTTAATCTAAACTTCATTCTTCGAAACTTAATCTACACTTCATATTTCTTAGCATCCTGCTATTATTTTATTTATTTGTTTTTTATTTAGATTCTATAAGTTTCCATGATGTGGGGGAATAATGTCACATGATATCTTACAAGTATCTAAGAAAATTTTCAAAGTTTAAATGTCAATGGTGAGTTTTAGAAGCCTAGAATCAAGGAATGGACACTATATCCATGGGCGGAAACAGAATACTAGTATTTGAGACTCACAATTTGAATTATTAATTCAATCCACTATGATGTGACAAGAGATATAGATTCTACACAATTGAGGAATGGCAAACTAAAAGTTTATATGTATCATGTCACATCATTGTAGGTCATATTGTGAGAAATTTTTTATGGGTTTTAAACATTTTCCTAGAAGAGAAATTATGTCTAGGGAGACCAATGTGATTGTGTGAAAAAAGAAAAAGGAAAAAAGAAATGGTACATTACTGAAAGAGAGTAATTTCTCACATGAGGTTTGTGAAAAAATAACTTTATGAGAAAAAAACAAACAAATAAATCTAATAAGTTTTTTTTTTTTCTTTTTAATTCTTTTCTAAAGTTGTGAAATATTAGTAAAGCTATTTTGTTGGTTGACAATATCTAGTAAATAAAATGTAAGTGTACTTTTTATTTTTGAAATAAAAATAAAAAGAAATGACATACATCTATTCTATAAATAAAATTAAGTAAATCTTATTGATGCTAAGCAGCATACGAATTAGTTAGAAATCATCTCATTATACATTGTGAAACATTAATGAAATATAAAATTAATAGAAAGATTTTGAAAAAATTAAGAGACAATCCAATGATACATTTTACAAATACTTATGAATATAGAGCTAGTAGTGTAATTTTCCAAAGGCTGGGGTTGGCGATGGCACATTGGCAAACATAGCCAAGTTTTTTAGCCTGGGACTTTTTTAACCTCGTTTGATTTTTGTTTTGGGATTTTTTTGACTTTTGTAAGAGAAAAAAAGTAATGATTATGGGTAAAAAGTGGTATTTTGTCTTATTGGCTTATATAGCTTATTTTATCTTTTTGTGATTTTTTAGTCCCAAAATCTTAGCCAAACGAGCACTAATTATATTTTTCTTTTTTTTTCTTTTTTGTTTTGTATTTGGCAACAATTTTATATTTTATGTAGATGATGTTTCCGGGCGACAGGTAGTCTTTAAAAGAGAGAAAAAAAGAAGGTGAAACAAAAAGAGAAAACTACATTCATATCAACTTAGCTATCATGGATCAGTTTTAGTGTTAGAGTTTCTCCAATGGTCACTAGCTAAATTCAATAGCTAAAGTTATATTTAGCAATGAATCATGTAAAAAATTTATAATTTAACAATTTTTTTCTTTTTTCTTTTTTGAGGAATAATTTAACAATGTTTTTCCAATGATCAGGTTGCTATTCTTTGGCTCAACTAGTTTTGCTTAGATTAATTATCATTCTTTCAACCACTATTTTTCAACCATTACTCTTCCAACACTGCCACACACAAAAAAAAAACACTTCCACAAAAAAAAAACAAAAAACAAAAAACAAAAAACAAAAAACAAAAAACAAAAAACAAAAAACAAAAAACAAAAAAAAAACAAAGAAAAGAAAAGAAAATTTGTTTCTTATATTTTCTTTTTTTTTTTCGTGGTCCATTCGAAGTCATAAAATTTATATTTTTTTGTGCTTTTTTTTTTTGTAGAGTTAATTGTGGTATTTCTTAATTTTTTTTATTTTTGAAAATTTCGTTGAGAGGTGTACAATGTTTCATGGCAACTTTGTTGACATGACATATTTCACTATAACTAAACCTTGTGCCAAATTTGACACATGGTATATGTATGTGTATCAATTGGTAACAACTGTGAGGAAATGTTAGAATATAAAGTCTCAAAGGAATTGATAAGAAATCAATGCATGACAAGGAACACAAGGAGCAATTAAGTTTGAAACATCTTCAACAATCACACATGATTAAAAATTAAAAAATTTCAAAAAAATAAAATAAAATTTTGGACTTAACCTCGTGTCTTGATGTTGATGTCTTCTGGGCTTGAATGTAAATCATTGGTGTAAAGGAGTTAAGTCTTCAGTTCACCTCTAAATAATTCAATAATGCTAGTATGCTACACATACTTAAAAATTAAAAAATAAATAAAAAAAATTACACTATTTTCTTATATATGAGAGAAAAATTGGATTTCATTATCTTACCTTAACAATTATTTCAAAAAACATTAAATATTTTGATTTTACAGTTTTCAAAAATAATTTAAGAGTTTTTAATTCATATTTTTTTATTTTTAGTGAATTGTTTTTAAATAAATTAATCATTTTTTTTATCCACTTAATCTCAATATATACTGAAAAAAGTAGAAAATTTGTGAAATTTTTTAAAAAATTTCACTAAATACATATTTTTGTTGTACATTTTTTGTATTTTTTTTTATGTTTATTGAATTTTAAAAAAAAATTATAAAGAATTTATTTTTTAAATATATTTAAATTATACATTTAAAAATAAAAATAAAACTCAAAAATTCAAAAATTGTTTTAAAAACTCAATTCCAAACTGGCATTGGAAACTTTTAAACATATAAAGAATTCAAAAATTCATTATATGTTGTTTGCAAGATATAATTGTTATGACAGACATCATTTCCGTTATACCACGTTTTATAGGTTCGATAATGGGAAGAACAAATCCTTTTTGTATACATTACTCATAAATGGACTGACACAGTTGCAGATCTCTTACAAGTGGGAATATCAGCCCAATGAACCATGCGGCCATTTTTGTTAGGAATAAACTTCTCTCGATGCTTCTCTTTATATTCATCTCTATTCTTTATATTTTTATGGGTTTAAATTTGGACTCTGTCGTGATCCGAATCTATCCTCAGAGATTTAGATCATAATCGGCCAGTAATCATGAGATTATATACAGTCCCAGATAGCAATAAAATCATATTTAATTATATGAAGTCAAAGGCGGAAACAGAATTATCCAATGTGGTTGTGCACAAATGACATAAACAATAACTTCTTATATATTAATAACTCACCCATACATATATAAGAGATTTCACATGTCCAAAATCATACATATGTCATTAACATTCAAAACAAAAACTTATATAGAGACATGGTCAAACATGACCAACAAAAGAGAACAAAAAATCAAAAAACAATAGCCTCATTCGTAAGGCAATCCTTGGCTGACTCCACAAAACTCGGTAAAATTCACAGGTTCACTGGGACTAGGCATCCCGCTATTCACCCACATACATATAAATACAGAGTGAGCGAAAACCCAGTGAATAACATCAGAGTAAAGAGGTTATATGAATGAGATCTTATGTAAAAGCAAAATCGTTCTCATCATATTAATTTCATATCACAACGGAACTAGCACAGGTCCAATACATGACAGAACGACATTGGATCCAACATATACAGAGATACAGAGCAGAATAGATCATACTTGTTGGAACGACCACGGGTACAATGACCTTAGGTCAAATCAATTATAGTTGTATAATCACCATTGGGTCAACACATAACAGATATTCAAACTTATTAGATATTCAGAACGACCTTAGGTTCATCATATACATTCTTATTTCATCAAACACATTTGCAGATATCATGTTAATCAGGTAAATAGAAACTCATTGATACTTGTAAAATCATAGATTCGGAAAAACTAGCCACATTAGGGCATTCAGAAAATAGAGTAAATAATAAAATATCTTTATTAAGATATTACTCACAGTGATTCGGTTTCTGACACGTCCTTGCGGATGATCCTACACAATTCATAAACATATACACATCGAATCGCATTGCTCATTTGAATCATTCTCTAACTTATTCAATTCTCATAGACTTCATTCTAACTCTTTAATTCATTTAGGATGCTCAATTCATGCTTAATAATGTTCAGAAAGGAATGAGAATACATATTTTTCAAAAGATTTGTCGAATTTGGACTATTTGGTGTTTATCTATTTCACATTGCACTTATGAGATTGGATTCAGAATCGCAGGAGTCCGAACTGTAGGGCTTATTTCGACTTCCGAAAGGGGGTGCGAAAAAGTCAAGCTACGGCGCTAGTTATATGATTTGGCGAGTTACTGTTGATAGCGCACTATATGCACAAAAGCCCGATCGCAACGTTCCTCAATCAAATTCAAATTCAAATCCAAGGCCAACATCATGTCATTCTATCTTGTGTCAAATGCTTTTGATCTTAGAGTGGGCAAACCGATTTCAAGAGGAATAATAGCTTCGGTGACAAAACATAAGGTAGAGGGTGTTTCACCGATAGGTCGCCTTGGAGTAGTACGATGGGCCCAAAGTACACTAGACAGTTCTTCAACCCACTTGCCCTTGGCCTTTTCTAACCATTTTTTGACTCCATCCAAGATCACTTTATTGGAGGCCTCAGCTTGGCCATTGCTCTGTGGATAGGCTGGTAAGGAGAAGTATGATCTAATGCTGTATATGTCGCACAACTTACGATAGACACCACAATCGAATTGGGTACCGTTGTCGGATATGAGCGCTCGCGGTATGCAGAATCTGGTTATACTATTCTTCCAGACAAAACGTTTGACATCTACGTCTCGGATGTGTGCCAAAGGTTCTGTCTCAACCCATTTCATGAAGTAATCCGTTGCAATAATCAGGAATCGTTTGTTTCCGGGGGCTCTTGGCAGTGGTCCGACGATGTCCAAACCCCATTAAGAAAAAGGCCAAGGACTAGTGATGGAATTTAGTTCCTCTACAGGTAGATGAGTCAAGGAAGAGAATTTTTGGCACTGCTTACACTTCTTTACATAGTTCTCTCTATCAGTCCG